AAAAAAAAGGCAAGTGAGAAGGACACTGCTGAGTAAGTTACATTTTCAGCATCTCAGCGACAAGGCTGAATTGCTCACTTCTCCCAACCTTATCTTAGCTGGTGTGCAATCCTAATTAAAAGGCTGACGTAAGGAATACACACAGGGAAGGGTCTGGCACGGATGTTATGGATGAGATGATAAACTTTATGAGCACAGCTACCTCCCATGTAGCTTTTGTAGTTAACTGYTGGAGCTAGAAAGGTTGCTCTTGAGTGCACCGTTTCTCTTTTCAGAGGGCTGAAAATGTTAAATAAAACAGAGATGTCCTGTCCAATACAGAGTAGCATCTTGCTGATGTAATTAATCTACATAGCTCATTCTTTCACTGAGATTRCTTTACTGGCAAGTTAACCAAACTTGAATCAGGCTCTGGCTCCCTTCTCCTGATGCCCATTTGCAGGGTGAAAAAGGCTGTGGGCAGGATAAAACCCATGCATCCACCTAGTGAACAATGCTGTCATGTAGCTAACACAGCAGAARTATTTGTTTAATTAGTTACATTTTCAGTTTTCAAATGAGAAGAAAAAACAAGCCATGGGTGGTCTGTAACCTCAGAAGAGCAAATATCCCTGGCTGTAAAATCATCCAAGCTCAGAACACAGGGCTGGACATAAAAAAAGCATTTATTGAACCCTAGGCCTGAGCCAGGAACAGAAGGTGCATTAAGAACTTCCAAACTGCAGTCTACCACCAATTCATTAAGTGTTCAGCATTATTTAATAAAAATGGCTTATGCATATACTTTAACTGAAACACTGTTTATTCATAAAYATTTTTAACTACAGTATGTGTTGGGAATTATTCACACACCAATTCAGAGACAGTTTTAAATTCTTCCTTCAAGTAATTGCATGCAATTCCCACTGCTGTCTGCCTCAACTAGGCTACAGGTCTGCAAGCAGACTTGCCCTGTATTTTGCAATTAAACCAAGGATCTTAGCTGGTTTACAGAGATCTAGACACTTTGCTGCTAATATCTTGTTAATGCACTAACATTACAAAAGTGAGAAAACTGTCATCGCTTGTGTAAAAGCAATATCTACAGCATGCCTGAACCCCAAATTTGAAGACATCTTCGAAAAAATTCCTCCTTTCATGCCTATTTTATCAGAGGAGCTGATCTCTAGGTAGGCACAAAACAAAACGATCAGGTTTTCTATAAAGCTATGGCATGTTTCTTGAAAAAACATAACAACACTTTTGATTGCTGAAACAAAGGCTGAGCAGATTTAATGCTCCAGCCCTCAGTTCTTCGGGTTACATTAACATGACAGTAACTGCYTTCCCACTCAGACTGGAGAACAAGAAAACTAACAATATTTGCTAATTGACTCAGGCAGCTGTTGCAACAGGATATTGCAATGGAACATTGCAGACAAGGAACAACACCATTGCCCCATACTGTGCAACTACTACCTACCCAAACATTTCCAAGATGCTTTCTCAGAACCTCTCTGCCACTCTCATTTTCAATGCTGACTACTTAAAAGGTGCTTAAGGAAGTTTTTTACTTCACAAGAGACATTCCTGGAGAAATTGTCTTTTCCACACTTTCCTGCTCACTTGTAAGGCACAGGTTCTTCCACCTTCCCCATTTCCACAGCATTAACACCCATGCWGAAACAACAGAAACTTCTGACATGGGAAAGACGTACCCAAAACACGATTTTCTCTTTTCTGCGTGATTTCACAGCTGGAGATGAAGACAGCCAACACTCTTTGACCTGTTACTCCTCCAAGGGCCGWATGTGTTCTGCATCTGGCAGTGGGACAGCTGCTGCTTTAGGACTTTGCCCTTTATGTCTCCCTTATCTTTCCTTCTGTCATCTGCTTATTTTCCATTTTTATTATATTCTTTTTTGGTAGATAATAATGCCTTTAGGATTAGCKCTGGCAAGAGGCCAGGACAAAATGGCAGCACTAATGACTTTTGTTTGAGTTAGGGTCACTGTGAGATAATTTAGACCATGGGTCTGGGGCCCCATTTTCCCATGACATTGGAAAAATCCACACAGAAAAGCAGACACACTGAATGTTTTAAATCCAACCCTCCCTAAGCTCCTCCTCTTGGGACACAGCTTGCAGAAAAGAATGAGCACTATATTTCAACACCCRTGGATAGGACTTGAGATGGGCTGTACTATTGATTATCTTTCCACATAGTTTTTGTTTTCAAGAGCAGAATCCAGCAGAGCAAAATCCATCTCTGTCACTTCCCACCCACTCAGCTCAAGGACTTTTCCSTCCCAATCTTCCCTTGGAGGACACAGCCTTGCCTAGTGCATACCCAGGCCACTTTTTCCYATGTTGCCAGCAAAAAGCACTCTAAATGCGTGCCCACTACCCACAAAATTTTCAGAGGGGAAGGAACCGGCCTTCAGTCTGGCTTTTTATTTTTCCCCCATTAAGTTTTACAATGGATTTTTTTTCTTAATCCTGAAGGCTGCCCTGAAATGTTTCTCCTCTCAACAGGGCAGAAGGACAATCAGTTAAGAGAATATGATGCATCTCTTTCCCACTGTCCCTCCCAAAGTGAGGAAATGTGTAACYCACAATAAATGATGCAAAGCAAACCAGAAAGCAAAAGTTGCTACGAAAGAAACACAGCTGAACTTTATTTGCTATACTCAGCCTGAGACTAACTGTCTTAAGAGACATTTTACTTCATCACTATTAGAAGATTGTGAAAAAGCAGGTCGGGGAGGCTTTGCTGAGATCTAAGTTAACATCCATCTAAAGCCAGGATACTCTGCATTTCGAACCAAACCTCCTTCCCCCATGGCCATGACCTGCATCTCCCCTACAAAGAGCTGCAGATGCCAGTGGCCTCACCAGGAGACTGCCTGTGAAGCAAGGGCTGATCTTTCAGATGGCAGAGAGCTGTGGTAGGTGCACACAGGAGAAAATCTTCTATGTTTCAGCAAGAACAGACTGGGAAGACTAAAGAAAGACAAGTGGGAAAGGAAGAAGAGGAGGGAAAGGAAGAGGAGATTCAGCAGCAGCAGGGGGCCCATGCAACTGCCTGTCCCTGGCAAAAGCTCATGGCTTTGTGTGAAGGAGTGTTTGGAACAAGGCAAAAGACTCTGGATCACAGGTGGAAACAGGACACAGGGAGAGGCAGMCCTCAGAGCCAGGCAGAAATAGGTCAAGGATGACAGAAGGGACACAGCCCCCCATAGCTACCCTGGGAGAGCCAGGAGCACTGACAGCACGCCCAATAGYCACGGGTGGGTGAGGAATGACAAAGGAGAGTCCTGGCAGTGGGTGTGCAGCTRTGAAGGAGTCTCCCCAGCAAAAATATTAACCTGCAAAACCTTCCCCTTGCAAGCACAGGGCAATTTCTTCTCCCTTAGATCCAATTCTGCTTGACCAGAACAGGGCTTTTATCTATTCAGCCCCAATCAACAGTGCACAGGGTTTGCAGTGGGTCCCCATCCCMAAGAAGAGAAAAGCATCCTCTTGCCCACCTCCAAGCTGCCAACAGACAGCATCCTGAGCTCTCAGCAGTACAAGGCTGTTCTTATCTGGGGGGGTGTCACACTGCCCAGACTAATAAAAAGTCACAATACTGTGATGAATGGATCTAAAGTATTTAAAATCACATTTCYCACCAACTATAACCAAAGGCAGATAGCAAAGGACATAGCTTGCTAAGTGACATCTGCAAAAGGACACATAAAGAGAACAGGGAGGAGCAGCACAAATTAAAGTCCCATGCCTTTTTCAGAACTCTTTCAGCAGATTCTTTCAGGGAGCAGCACCTTGAAATTGTGAGGTGGGGTTTTGCCACTAATCCACGACAAAACATGCCGACAAAAGACTATGACTATATTTTGAAAGTATCATAGGAAATATATAAACCACTGTTGTGATTCAAATTTAACAYTGTAAGTAAAATATTTAAACAAAAACATTTCCAAGTTCTAAGAAGCACAAGTTTCCGAAAGGTAGCCAGTTATACAATAAACTATAGGAAAGGTTACTCATTCTTTAACACAACATTCAAACACAAACTCATGCACTAAAGATGAACACAACGCTTAAAACAAAGAGATGAGGTGTGGGCCTAAATGGAAGATGGAAAATAAATAGTTTGGGCTGTGTTCTTGAGTTTCATTTGCTACAGCTAAGGACTSACCAAACTCTCTTGGAGCCTCTTTTTGTTATAAGCATAAGACATGGAAAGCTGACACTGTACCATGGAGAAGGCTGTCTGGGAAGTGCTTGTATCAGCATGCAGAAATCCCTACAGGTATGTACTATACATTCTAGCTTTCACAGATGACTTTTCTCTGAAAATGTCTAATGAACTAGCTTAGCAGTAGCTCAAAAGCAATTTTCAGAGGCATTTCCTCCTATTTTGAGGGGTTTAAAACAGGCATACTTTCCCATACATCCACCTGTGAAGACAGTGGCATTCCCCGAGACTTAAAGCAACCTGCAAGAACTTCATCYATATTTTAGACAGTTCAAAATAAAAACCAGCAGCTACTTAAATATGCTGTGTTGGGAAATAAAACTGCTTTCCTCATTCACATCAGGAATGACTTCATTAGATGAAGTTACACTAAAGATAGTGTAACTTTCTGACACTGGATTCTTAAAAAAATTTATTGGGAGAAAACAAAAAAAAGGCTGTATTTCTTTGTCTGTTAAAAAAAGGTAAGTGTTGGTCACAGAAAGACACCTGACTTTACCCAGCCTTTCTGCTGACGAGCTAGGGGATGAGCACAGCACAACTGGTCACAGATGGTGGTGCACAGGTATCGTGCACCCAGACCAAGTCTATGCTTGCAACTTGCATTACCCACCAAAAAAAAAATTGTATTTGCAACAGCAGGATTTTGCAACCGAACTCGAGTGATTCTGACCCAATAAAGTCTCACTGCCACTTCTGCTTTAATTAGGAGCATGTTTTTGAAGATGCTGTGATCTCAAGCCTGTCATGAAGTACTTACGTAGTCATCCTCATGAAGACCCTGCTTCTCAACAGAACTTTTCACCTCCAGGGAAAACTTCTCAAATTCAGGCTTCACAGTCCTCAGCAGAGTGATGGTTTGGAGGTATGAGTATGCTTTCTTGGCTTCAAGGTCATGTTTGTCTCCTCTTCTCCAAGAGCCATTTCCTACAGGGGAAAACAAGCGTATTTCCAAACTAGGTACCATCACGGAATTCCTTTTCCACCCAAAAGACTCCTTTTCTGATTGTTGGGGAGATTGCAAAGTACAAAGGAAAACTGACCCTTCCTCAAGACATGTAGGAAATGGGGCTGTGAGGAACAGGCAAGAGATAAATGTGCCAACCAAAGGAGAACTTTATTCCCATGCTGTGTTTGCTTGTTTCAAAAGGGTAGGATAAATCCTAAGTGAGACAGCATCTTGGAGCAAAACACATGTRCTAGATCTCAAATACAGAGATACTTAAGATGTAAGAAGTGAGGGAGGATTCAAGCACAAAGTTTTTGTTGCACATCACTCCTCCTGGACAGCCAGAAACGCATCAGTGAAGTCAAGAGCACGATCATCACCCTGAATGGGAGGCAGATGGTGCAGTTCTCCCACCGCGGTCAAGGACAAAGCCATGTGTGCCACGGCTGCCAGACCAGCCCTGCTTTTAATGGAAAAGGAATACATGGAAATCAAATGGAATCCTGCGCCTACGCTGTATTTACACGTGTTTTGTGTCACAACAAAGGAACAATTTAATTCAGACCACCAGCAAAGAAACCACATTTTTAAAAAGCAGGATAGCTGACTGGTTGTTTATTAGCAAAGAAGTCCTTCTCACAAATAGATCCCAGCCTTAGCAGGCCCTGAGATCCTGATCCAAAGCTTCAGGAGGTCAGCRGAAAGGTTCATGTTGTTCTAGAGCAGGTTTTGTGCTATTTGATGTAAATGATAACTAAAAAAGGCTAAAGAGAACAGTGGTAGCCTTAAGCAGGGTGCCCTTAAATGCTTACAAGTAATTAAAAGGCAGGCAGACTTTTTTATTTTTTGAACAGCAGCCACAAACCCCATTATGGCTAAATGAGCCAAGACAAAAACTAATGCTAAATTCCCAAGGTGACCTGGAGGCACACAGGAAGCTGAAATCAGAGAGGCTGTGGCTGGTTTGCTTGGGTTGAGGACCACAGCATCATTTGGACGAAGAGAAGCAAGTTGTTTGGGAGTAGAGACTTTAAGGGAGACGGAGTRCAGGTGTCAAACCCATGGTTTGATTCAATTTTTTTTAGGAAGAAGCTCTAGACATATATGCCTTGGTTTAGGGATTTATTTCCCAATACAAGGTCAAAACTACTTACACAGAACCCTATTCATCAGACCCAGTGGAGACATCAGAGAGTAAGTAACATCCCAATTAAAATGTCAGTAAAACCAGTGGTCTGATTTTGCCACTCTTCTCCTGAGTGCCTGCACCTGTCCTCCTTACAGCTTCCAAAGAGAAAGAAATGCACATCTGGCAGCTGTAAGTGAACACATCTTGCTGCCTTCCCCAAAACAGAGTCCAAGCMCTGCAGGAGCCTCAAAGCTGAAAAGCTTCTGCCCCAGTTGGGCACCTGCATTTTAGAGGTGCAGGATTCAAGAAGTACAGCAGAGACTACAGCACTGAGGGCTCTGCTATAGCTTTCCACTTGCAAGTGGAAATAGCTAAAAGGCATGCAATTATAGACAAGGGAAAAAAAAAAAAAAAAAAAAAAAAAAAAAAAAAAAAGGTAGTGCGGTAGTGCTGGTAGAACTGTCCTGGACACTATTATTGTTTCATCTGAAATATCCTGCCACTGGGACTGGGGAAGGTTCACTTGCATAACAGCGTTCCTAGAATAATCTACATATTTAAATTCCTTCATGGATTATTTTGTGGGAGGTCATCTTGCTACAATACTTGTGCACACTTATTGCAGCCTTGGCATTTAATAAGCCTGTTCTGAAAAATTAGAAATATTCAGAACAGAGGGCAACAATAAACTGCAACGAAGTCATCTGAACACAAAGTTAGTGCCAATTGCCCAATCACACCCACTCTTGGGTTTTATTTAGTACAAAACCTARTATCTCCAGGCACTGGAAACAAGGAACTTTTGGGTAATTTCTCTACACTTCTCTTGTGTTTGCTTTTCACATGCAATGACCATCTGCACACAAGTCAACTTCTGAGGTACAGTCATTTCACTCTACATGGGAAACACATCCACAAGCAGAAAAATTGGTTTAAAAGAAATGCCAGGAAATGCCACATCCTAACTAGACTACATCAGAAGTCAGACAGTTTTCATTAATCCCTTGGAAAAGTTAGGAAGRCTGGGCTACCTGTGATGCAAAGGAGGGTGGTGCTGAGGTTCCCAGAGTGGTTTTGATCTTATTCTACAACTTCATCTTTTAGATATTTGAGTGATTTCCTTCTTATATGTCAAAACTTGGCATCCTTTAGCTAATTTTGATGATCTGTGTAGCAGTATCTGTACTTCTGTACATATCTAGACCTCTGAATTTATACTGTTACATACCTTCATTAAACATCACTGTTTACTGTGAAATAATCTCAGAGGAGGTAGGTGAGCAACAGAAAGTTTATGCAAAAGAACTTCTGACTAACTGATTAACTTTTAAAAATCACCCTTTTTTGAATTCAGCTGCTCCTACTRGTCAGCCTTTACAGCTTAAAGACAGTAAGGCCCCAAAGATTTCCTTTTTTTCTCAACTTCCATTTGTTTTTGAATTTTGTAGTGGTTTACTTAAAGCAGTCCGCAGGGAAGAAATTACTTTCTCTGTATCTGCAAAAAAAGCTGCCCTTTTCAAGAGCCATGTTACACTTCAACAAAACTTGCCCCAGCTTCAGCCATCTGATGCTTGAACTCAGTAATCACATTGCTCCAATATTACCTGGAATTTAAGTGAGAATACTGCACCAGCTGACAGCAGGTATAGTATCTGTAACATGCAGTTACAATGGATATTTTGGCATATATGTATTTTATATATATTTAAAACAGAAAACACATTTAATTTGTATTTTGATGTCATGTTTTAGTTTGACAAATATGACCTTTTTTATTTAGGGGTRTAAACAGTCATTTTAATTCACTCTAGAAAATTTGGACTCTAACACAGCAAACCAGAATAWTTTTGCAGACAGAGTCTGTCATCAAAAGATAAATAAATTAGCTGTGTGGGTGCCCCAGCAGAGAGATGATTTCTAGAGACCCAAACCTCAMAGCTGCCCATGGTGCTGGCTGTTGCTGATTACTCCTTCCAGCCATCTGCTCAGACCACAAGTCACCAGGCAGCCTGGGACACCCCTGCCTTGAGAGCTGGCACTCAGAACACTGGGATGGTGTAAATCACCCAGACCTGAGTGCACACACTGCAGAACGGGGCACCCACACCACAAACAATGTCTCTGTCTGGGGCTACTGACCCAAAATGTAATTAAATAAGTAATCACTGTAGCATATTTGGCATCTTGTGACCCACCCAGGCGCAGCTAAAGCCACAAGGTGTGTTTTACTTCCTGCAACAACGTAGCCCAAGTGGAAGATAACAGGGAGAGGCGGTGGTGTTTTCTGGGACTCAGTGCTGCATGTTTTGAGGCTTACAAATCTAAAAATACTACCAGGCTTACAAAAGGCTTTGCGACACACTTGAGCAAGAAAAACATTACCATATGATGAGCTGTTGAAGAGTTCAATATTGAAGAAAGCATAGTCCCCGTTGGTCATTCCTTGCCGATGAGCAGCCAACATGATGTTCCTGATAGTGTCACCGCTGGCACACATGATTACAACTGGTGGAAGAAAATGAGAAACACAGATAAGAAGCAGCTCAAAAACTTCAGAGAACAGCCTGTGAAGCAAGAATGCTGCCAGTGACCCCAGCTGCCCTCCCAGTTTTGCAACAAACATGAAAACACAGATTGCAAAGAAAGCTGATTTCCCAAAGAGCTGACAAGACAGGTGGTGAACACAGAGAGGCTTCCTCTCCTTCCTTGTCTCCTCTCATGATAATGAAATAGAGCCTCTGTGTGATCTGGTTTTTTTACCCCTGCAAAATATGATAAGTTCTGGCTCCAAATTTCTTTAGCTGCTCATATTTGTAGACTAGAGCACAACTACAAACCTCTGTTGTTATTTCTGAGTGGACAGAAGACCAAAATGGACAATTAAAGTGATATCATGACTTTACCATTTCCATTCCACTGAATTCAGTTTGGTGTAGTCTGAACTCACCCAAACCTCAGCTATCTAATATTTAGATATCTGTCCTAGATTCTGCTGCCTCTCTGCCCTTAAGGGAGAGCAGCACTTGTGCAGCAAGGACAGTGGTACAGATCTTTCCAGAATGTGACTTTCTCTCCACATTAAGCCTAGGTAACAATAAGCCTAGGTAACAATCTCTGATGAGATGTTGAATGTTAATAAATGGAAACACAAAGTACCAATTTATAAGCACAAAGATTAAAAGTGGGTACAAACACCACAGAACCCCATTTATCACAGGCCAATAGCTAAGCAGAGACTCTGCTGCCAGGATGAGTGGCTACAAGGTGTGCTCTGKGCAGGCACTATGATCCATACTGTGRTGATTGTGRTTTTTTCCCAGACCTGCYGAGTAGGGGGACTACTCTCCTTGCTACTCCTTCCTTCTACAAAAGGAAAGCAGAAGCTCAGGTGAAATCCTCAACAAAAGAGCACTCCCACACAGAGCAAGCTGYACTGCACAGTTTTATTTGGGTTCATGAGATTACAGGTATGAAGCTACTGATGTCAGAGGGAACAGCAGAGCATTTTATCTGTGCTTAGTGTGTGTTTCAGGACTGTATGCTACAGAGGCATAAGGGATCCTGTTAGGATGATGATTCAAAACCAACTGCACACACATTTCCAAGAGCGCCGTCACGCATGGCAGGACTCAAAAGCTACAATAAAGTACRCAAATATTTTCAACTCAACAATAAAAATGAATCAAAACCGCATTTGGGCTCTTCKGGGTGGAAGTGTTTTCTATTATAAGAAATGAAAACGCCAAACAGGCCAAATCYTTTCGCACACAATGAATCTTCTCCCATCGCCTTTCTGGTTGGATGCCATCACAGGCATAAACCTCCAGATGTGCTGCTGGGGTGAGTCATGTTCAGTACATGCCCATGCTTCAGGAGAGTTTACCATGCAYAGCTCTGTCCTACTGGTTATGGCACAGTAATATAATAATCTCCAGAGCAAAAGACCAAGACTTATTTCATGACAATTGTGAAGTATATTAGCATGAAGGAAAAGAAGAAGAAAAAAAAATTCTTATAATAAAATTTTGACCAAATCTTTTCCAGATGCACATCAGGAATGAATTTGTCTCACTGTTCTTAATTTCAGTATAGGTGAGAGATTTCCTTTTGAAATGTTTCTTTGCTGCCCTCCCAATTCTTCCTTGACTTTGCCTTTGTAATTCACAGCTATCATAAAACTGCAATCTGYAGATGGAATCAGAGATTCCCACAATACCAGTAAAAGACTTTGAGCAAAAGGAATAAAAGAMAGAGTTTGTGGGGGGAACTACTTTAACATACATTAAATCATATTTTGTAAGCCTCTAAAGGAATGTAAGGGAAGTAATATTACCTATTTGGAAGGGGTTTCTAAACCAGCAGGAAAGCAAAGATTACATATTTCAAGATTCTGAAGCAAATAAGCTATGGATATGTTCCTCACATCTTCCAAAAATGTAAATTATGTATTTAATCTGCATCTGCACCTTACTATTGTATACATACAAATGTGTACGTGCAAACCCATGCAAAATGTTCTCCCTCTACCATAATACACACAGACCACAGTAATTCTAATACTAATATGCTGAATTTATTGACTAGGATTATTGACTCATCTTGCAAATACATCAGAGTACAATTCCAGTTAAAGGAGTAAGCRTTCCCTTTGTTACACAGATCCCTTGGACTACATGCTTGTGCATTTAAGCACAGACCTGCATTTGTGAACCTTACAGTAAACCTAAGCCTACAGCACAAAGTCTGCAGCAGGCCTACCGGAGCCTATTAGGGAGCTTGAACTACTAATGAAATTAATTGTAGACAAGGACTTAACTTTTATTATCATATTTTTAACCTCTTTTTTTTTGGTGGCTCCAAGACTCCAGTCTTTTCACCATGGCTCCAGGGACTGAACATGCAGTCCCTGGTACACAATGGTGAATGGCTGAGTGTGCTTCTCCCTCCCAGGCATGTGAGCGCTCAGTGGAGAGCCCAGTCAGCAACAATCTAATCCCTGGAGCCAGCCTCTGTCCTGGTACTCACAGGACAGCTGGTGGGGCAGGTTCTGCCCCAGCTCTGGGAGAGTTTCAAACAAACATCCTGTACCTGCTTGAAAACCCACTCCTAGTCAGGCAGCTCAGTGAAACCTGACCAGTCAGKTGGGACCCCAAACAGGAGCAGTATTTGAAAACTAGAGGAGGTGAAGGCTTAGAGACAAGGAYAGTGTCACAGCAGGTGTGACACAGKAGTCATTAAAAACTGGAAAYCAACCAAGCAAAAACTTTTCTAGAAAGTGCTCTGGACAGTGTGCTGTTGCCCACAAGCCCTGATGCCCCATCGAATCTCCAATGAATTCCCAGGAGAAATAGTGACCTTGACTGGTCTTCAGACATCACCTGGTGCACCCTCCACATGATMYATAGCTCTTAAAATATTGTGGTAAKGTGAAAGATGCTGTGAGCAGCACAGCCCTGAGACCAAAGGAATGTGCCAGGTGAGTCCTGCCTTCGGTCTTTAAGGTCAGAAAGGCACAAGTGGAAGCTGGAGGGCCCCACTTGAGTGGCGTGAGAGAACAAAGAGGTGAGGGACCCCACAGGGCACAGTGGGGAGAAAGAAGAGGGTTGCTTCTGTTAGGCATTTCCRAGTTACAGAACTGTGAAAGCCCAAATGTCTCAGCACAGCAAAGCATTTCAGATCAGGCTGAAAGCAAGCTCTCTTCCCCGACTGTCAGCATGGTGTGAAGAGAGGGGTTGGGGTGAACACTTGTTTTTTTCCTGCTGTAAGCATGCTGTTACGCTCTCAGCATCAGGAAAGCCAAAYACACAGATACTTGACAAGCATCTTTCCCCACACTGTGGTTTCCTCCAGCACTGACACATTAATTTCCCTCCATTCGTTACATTTCCCCAAATGGTACTTATAAGGAAAGCTCCATTTTTAGAACCTGCTATCCCTGAATAGGGAATTAAAGAGCCCTATACTGCTGGATCTCTGTTATCTCACACACTTCTGCACATGTTAAGGATTTCACAGCAGCATAACAACATTACCAGTGCAAGGCTGCTCCATCCACAGCCTACAGCAACACACCAGCAGTTCTGCCAGCCACACACAGCATGATCTTTATCTGTCCAATTTGGATGCTATTTTATAAGACACGTAAAAACTGTACAAAGGGCTTTGTACATCTATGGCTTTCTTAGAAAACACSTTCATACTTTAACTTCATTCTGCAGCTGACTCCTGGAATACATCTTTTTTTGCATTAATCTACTGGGGAAGCCTGTGCTGGTAAAACTCTCCAACAGAGAAAGTCTTTCTGATAAGCCCATATATCCACATACTGCTTGGCAAGATCTCACTTTAAAGCACATCTAACTACAAAACRGCACGTTCCAAAGCACTCTGCYTTACTGCTCCATGATGCCAACTCARTTCATCTGGGAATGAYTGTCCAAGATGTTTTACAAGCCGCTTATGACCAAGGTGTCTTTCTAACTGTCGGTGACAAAATCACCAGGTGTTCTGCATGCACACATCCCCTGAAAYTGTCATTTCCCCTAAATGCATCTGYTATTTACAGRTGAGGTACTCAACGGGGCTTCCGACGGCAGGTCGGGTAAAGGTCTCCCGCYGCAAAGCACAGCGGGGTGAGAGGAAAAACATCTTTGCTTAGTCCCTGAACTTACAGTGTCAATGCAAAAACGTCAGGGTAAGCAACAGGTCTGGTGTTCCCTGCAGAAAAAGGCAATTTTGGGTAAAACAGACCACCAGCAGAATGCTGATTTCCTACTATGCCACAAAACCCACCTAGGGCGATCCCCGAGGGGAAGCCGCCCTCCCCGTCATCAGGAGAAAAACTCTGATGAACCTCTGCGGGCAAAGCTTTCACTCCGGGCTGCTGTTGCCACCCATCGAGGGATGCCTGGCCCGGAGCTGCCACCACAGCACCGCAGTGGGTTTCCTCACGGGCGGGGACGAGCCATGACAGTTCTCCTCCCGCCGATCCTTCCCTGCCCGTGATTCCCACCGCCCCAGCCGCCACCGAACATCACGGAGGAGCCCGGCCGGGCACTCCGCCGCCACTCACCCCTCTCGCCCGTCTGCAGGGCGCGGACGACGTCGTCGATGTCGAGGTGCCGGCTGGTCTCGTCGAAGCTGTGCACGGCCATGTGGAAGGCCTCCTCCTGGAACACCACATGGACACCTTCCATGGCGAAGTAGCAGCTGCGCTCGGGGTTGCTGTCGCTGTAGAGCAGCGTGGCCCGGTTCCACTGGTGGTGGCGGAARAGGGCCAGCAGCATCTCGCCCATCTTGGCGTAGGCGGGCGCGACGCGGGTGAGGTGCGAGTACTCGCCGCCCTTGGCGCCGAAGCCGGCGGCCAGCGCTCCCGCCGACAGCATCGGCACGTCCCAGTGCGCCGCCAGCCGCGCCACCGGCGCCGCCGCGTACTCGCACACCGGCCCCAGCAGCAGGTCGGGGCGGCGGCGCTGCAGGGCCACCATGTCCACCAGGCTGAACAGGGCGCGGTTGCCGCACGCCGAGTCCTCGTAGGTGAGCTGGAAGGCGTAGCCGGGCGGCAGACCCGCGCCGCTGTCCCGCAGGCTCCGCACCGCGTACTCGATGGCCGGCCGCACCCGCCCCAGCGAGAAGAGRTAGGCGTCGTCCTGCGGCAGCAGCACCAGCACCCGGATCAGCTTCTCCTCCTCCTCCTCCTCCGCRCCCGCGGGGCCGCCGCCCAGCGCCGCCCGCGCCGCCAGCACGCAGCAGAGGCTGCCGAGCAGCCAGGGCGGCATTGCGCCCGCCCCCCGGAGACGCCCGAACTCCGGCAAACTTTTCGCCCCCCCTTCCCCGCCCGCCTCGAAATTGTTCGGTCGTGCTTTATTTCTCAGGTGTTTGGCGGATTCACAACCTGCCCCTCCCAGCCCCGTCTGCGGGTCACGGACGGAGCATCTCGGCTCTGCTTTTCTCGTTCTCTTATAGATAGATGACTATTACTATGATCACTTGGTCCCCCCCGCGCCGGATCCCCCCGCGGGGCTGCCGGGCTGCGCCCTCCCCGCTTAAGTAGCGCGGGAGCGGCGGCGGCTCTCCGCACGCCCGGCGCGGCGCGGCCGGGTTTGTGCGCAGGGAGGAGCCGGCCCGGGCGCTCCCTCCCGCCCGCCCCCTCCCTGCGGCCCCCCCGCCCCGCACACCTCCGCGGGCGGGCGGGGGGTGTCCTTATCGCGTACATCTAACACTGATGTGTGTGTAATTCGTGTACCTTCCTGCTCGGCTGCTGCCCTCCCTTGCCAAGCGAGTCCTCGCAATCGGACCCGGGGAGTAAAGAATCCCATTGCACTTTCATTTTTTTTTTCTTAAATATATTTCTGGGGTTGCTCCAGCTTGCTTAAGCTGTCCTTTACTGCATAAGGAAGGCTTTTGAGGCACCCCAAGTGCTCAGAGGTCGGCGCTTGGCAGGGCTGTGGGATTTGGGGAAGGAGGGGTTGCAGCATCAGCACCAGGGGATGCAGGCAGCAGCCTGAAGGGCGCTGCATCAGACCACAAGCACGGCTGCCCTGCTCTCATCTCCTCACCCGAAAAGATGCCCATGCACAGCATAASCCTACAGGGAAGTTGACACTGGATCTCTGATCCCTGCCCGTGTACCTTTGGAAACTTAGTGAACCCCCAGTGCCAAGAAGGTCTAGATGCCAAGTTTTGTCATTTTCCACTGTGTTGAGAGACACAATTTTGTGCCCCGAACAGCAGAGGTTATGCCAATGAAGGAGAGGTCTGAGATTATTTAATTGGGAGAAAAAGAACTTTTGGAATTACTGTGATAACTCTGCCTAGTGATAAGAGCGACCCTGTTCTGTTCTACTCACTGACCTAAGGCTGCTATGCTTAAAATTTTGATAGTGTGAATTTCAAATGGACACAGCTTCTGGAATAAAGTAATGTGAAATATGTAAGATGTTTTGTGAAGGAGGCTTTGGAATACCTGATGCTTTTTGGCAGCAAGGTCCTAAAGGATTGCTTTCTGTGGAGCTTTCTGTGCCCTGTAACAACATGCATCCTGAAAATCAGAGCAGGACTGCAAGGTTTGATGTTTTATGGTTGCTAGAGAGTGCCAGGTTTRCGTTCAAAAGGTGAGTGAACTGCTTCTGGCTTTACAGAAGAGGTTTGTTTAGCTCAGCTCAGRGGTCATTGTCAGGGCAGTATGTGCAAACTTAACTTTTGTTGCTGCCTTCACTGTGCGGGCTATGAATGGGAAACCTGCACTCCTGTGGTGACCATCTGCTCACCTTTAAGATGCCTCAATTAAATAAAGAAAGCTCAAAGCACTTGTGCAATTCCAACCGAGAAGTGGAATGAAAACAGCAGATAACACGATGTACAGAAATAAGCACCAACATTTATCTAACGAGGTTTGGCAAAATAAAGAAGCTCAGAAATTCAAAGATGGGTAGTGTCTCTGAGAAATGTGCCTCTCATAGTTTTATTTGATYACTGAATCAAACTTCAGAGTGTTCTTGAAGATTACATAAACATCCACCCTGGTGAAGCTGGTTTTGTGTGTTCCTGTGCTCTAAGTTATGTCAGGCATTTTCTGTTGTAAATGACTCCATATAACATAGGGAGATTAAGCAGAATGTTACAATATACAACACACCAGCCAYGTTCACCGCAAAGCTTGCAAAAACATTTTCTTAAGACACATTTTGAAATGCTGACCTTTGCAGTCATTGCTTTATGGTGACCCTAAAGATGTGTTTACAGCATTAAAATCTGGTTGGATCTGTGTTGATTTCCTCCTTCCCCTAGCAGAATATCTTTTTCATTGATCACATTTTACACATTTTACATGTGATCTCCCTACACTCCTAGCTGTCTTATTTGAGTGTGAGCTGAGTAAACACAACAGAAGAGATAGTAAGTCTATAAATCACAGGGCTGCTACCCCTTCACACAGGCTGCTCCTTGTGAGGTAAAGTACTGCTGGGAATGAACAAGAGTGGGAGAAGCAGGGCTAGCATGAAGCAAAACAAGAAACAAAAGGCATCTAGTCAGTATTGTGTAGCAGAAGCATCAAAATCCGATTGCAATGTTTTCATAAAAACATTTGGCTCATAATATATGGTTCTTGCTCACCTGAGGAATTGCATTCAGCATTATGGGAGTCATTGTCTGTGGGCCTAGAGTACTATAAACATTTCAGTTGTTCCCCTTTACCCCAAGTGTTTCTATAAAGAAGAATCCCAGCCTGTGATTGACTTATTTTTCTGAGCCAGGAAGTTATGCATGAGAATTTACTTGTTAATCCCAAATCAAAATGTCACTTAATACACCATCATCRGTTCACTTACTGTATTTTCCATAGCTATAAATCCAACATTTCTCCACAGACATCATTTTTTTCAGCTGCATAAATACTTTTTAATAGGAACAAATCCTGCAGTTGTGAATTTGTAGCAGGCAGAATGCCCATGGACTGCAGTGAGAACAGAGATTTCAGGCTGGCCCATTAGGACTGAAGTAATTCTTGACTCAGGCTATTTTCCCCCCAGAAATAACTCAAACACAAGTCAAGAATCACTTGACTCGCTCCAGCTAGCAACAGCAGCAGCCGGAGCTGCCTGATGCAGATCCAGAATTTGTTTCGTAGATGGGTTAGCTGAAAACACAGTCCCACCTACAGGCTGAAAAGATGAAATACTTTAACATTGCCTGTACTGCAAACATAGCTTGCCACTCAGACTTGCAAAATCTTTCCCTGTTGTTCATGAAATTCTTTTTTATATTTGGAACATATATTCTATATTCTTTTGGAACACACCTAAAGTACTTCTAAATAATCATGATGTATCTTGTGTGTCTTCTTATGTTTTGCGACCTTATCTTCATATCCTTAGGTTGTGTAAAAAAACAAAATGTTTTTCAGGTGAAAATACTGCAGCATGAAAACTTAAGGTGAGCCAATCTGATGCTAAGAAGTAAATGGAAAAAGGACATTATTTACTTGTTTTCCTTTTAAGTGACACCAGCTTCTGTGGAGATACATGTTTAAGAMCCACAAGATCACAAAACTGCACACAAAACATGGGTGTACATGCATATATATATAGATAGATATACACACATCCATAGTAACAACCGTTTGGTACTCTTGTTATCTTATCATACTTCACAAAGTATGGTAAATGCAGGCGGATGTTTTTATTTTACAAATTAAATGCTAGTGTGAAAAAGACTGGCCTCCASTCTTTTCTCCTCCTCAAATAATAAAGGTTAAACTTCTTGTCATGAACGTTTCAGGAGGAATAATCTTCCTGTCTACTGCCTTTCACTCCAGATAATATGCAACATGGGCAAAATGCAGCTTTTTACACATCAAATACTAGTTGCATTAGTCATTTAGTCATTTTTAAAGAATGTGCTTCATCTGAAGCCTATGGAAGAACATACTGATCAGAAGTTGACATCATTATCTTCCAGTTAACTTTTATTTCTGCTGAGAAAGATGTCGTTGCAATTATTTTCAGTTTAACAAGTACCCTTACATTTCCTCTTTCGCAAGTACTTCTAGTCATGTGGGTAATATTGAGAATGCAACTATTGCATTCTTTTTAACAGTGTAACCTTATACATTCCCTTGAGTCACATTGCCTCCCTGCTAAACTCACTTTCCTTTTCTTGCCTATACTATGTTAGAATATACACTCTTCATTTAACCAGTTTCTGTATTTATAGACAGTAAGTGGATGTAGATAATACCTGGGTTTGTCCAGACTTTTATGCTAACTAAACTAAATTAAGAGGATCAATCATCTTGGTTTGGATACAAGTTGCTATGATTTTCACKTTTTTTTTTGTCATTTCCATGTCTTAGACAGGTCTGTACTGAATGGTCACTGGAGCACACAGGACAATGGCCATCTTGCTCCTCATGTATATCTGTCTTCCTCAAACAACCATATCATAGTTTGAGATAAAGAGCGAGTGGTGAAATACAAAGGGCAGCTGTGCTTTAGCAACACCATGGCAGTTCTGTCCAGAGGATCTAAACAGCTTTGGAGAGCAAAGATCATTTCTGCTTGAGATTTAGTAACTCTACAATAGGTACCTATATTGCTTGTAAAAGAAAGGTTAGAAATCTTGTCACAGTGTTCCTCAGAAACAGAATGAGGTCAGACATCCCAGATCACTGACAACCAAGGAGCTGGATTGGTATTATGTGTAATTTCAAAATAAGAAACATTATTTCAAAGTCTGTTTTCCCAYGTATTCCCATATAAATGGAACAGAAGCCTCACAAATAAAAAAAACCCCAGACATCTATGCTTTGGATAGTCAGTCAGCAAGAAGTGTCAGTTTACATAGTAATATCATGCCAGGAACTGATTGATTTTTGAGAMTATTCTGAGGCAAAATCTGGATTATTTTTTGAACCAGATCAGTTCATTTATATGGTTTGTGGTTGTGTTGGCACAGCAGAGCAAAAGATCTGAAACAACAGTAGCAAGATGCCAGAGACAGAGGCAGGAACTCCTTAGTGGAAATTAGTACTGAGATCTCTGTATGTCTTTTCTCTTGATGTTATTTAATGATTAAATTACAGAGAATGCATGGGGGGAAAAATTAATACTATTGGCTTATTTTAATATTATTGATCCTATTCCAATGAGCTAATATAAAAAATGTTTTAAATATTTAATTAAATAAATTCAGGAGTTTTGTAATTTCCAGTTTATTAAAGCACTAATGTGGTTGAAAAGAAAAAGAATGTATGGACTTGCTGGAATACACAGTTGTCATTTGTCATCACATCA